CCATGCATTCTGATCAACCAAGAAATAGTATTTTAATAACAAAGTTTTTGAAAGTTGGTATAAATATTTTCAATAATTGGGAACGTAGTAGAAATGAAGTGGTGAAATCAAATATTATTGAACATGTAATTGTGACAATAATGTTGAATAATATTGAAGGAAATGAAATTCGTCGGAGAGCGGCGGAGTTAGGGTGGCTATTCGGAGATCGGTGGTGGAAGCAGTGTAACGAGGAAGGAATTGGATTCTTTCATTGCTCATATCACTAGATAATAAACACGATTGTTCATCGTCGTCTATTAAATGGTGCATATTCAACTATTCCTCCGTTCCTATTTATATGTTATTTTTACTAAAAAATAGATGTCTCTTAATACTTATCATTTCACATAATCAATACATAAATAAGTATTCTTCCTATTTTACCCTTGAGAGTTATTAGCCTTGAAAGTATGAATTTAACCAACATAGGAAAACTAAATGATTAATTCATGTTCATTTATCAATTTATTAATCAAAATAAATTAATTTATATTTATTTATTGAAAATTTGACTTTAAAATAACATAAAAAGTATAATGATAAATTTACATAAATTTTTTATGAGAAATCTAAAAGAAAACATACAAATATATAGATTCGACATCTTAAAATCAAGTTAATGCTGGCATGAATTTATGATATAGATTCTCTATTTTTTTTATATACTGACATAGTTTGGACTTTTCCCATTTCTTTTTTTTTTTTTTAATTTTGAAAGTAATTAAATATACTATCAGAGTGTATTGCGGGAGGGATGTCGGCATACTAAAATTTGTCCATGTTTTTAAAGGTTTATTCGAACCGAAATTAGGATTTTAAATTTATAAATTTTTATTTTTAAAAAAATATTGAATGGTTCGCTAGTTTCTTTTTCGGTCTCGTATGAGGAGTAAGAGAGGAGCCCGATCCTGGTGCCCCCTCCCCCGCGACTGTCTGAATTTCACGAGTGAATTGAAAGTAGCATTATTCTATAATAATAATAATAATAATTAATGCATATTTAAAAAATTATCAAATATAAATTAAAATTATTAAACTAAAAGATAACACACTATAAAGGGAGGTGAGTTGTTGAGTGGGGTGATTTTTAATTAACGAGGAACACTTATTTTTGAGATATTCTCTCATCCAATTGATTGACTAGAATTAATATTTTTTTTCACTTAGTTTAAGATAGAGTACTCGTGGTATTAAAGGGGAAAAATAATCGTCCTCCTTGATGTGACACGCTTTGATTTGACATGATGTTTAATTTTTTTTAAAAAAAATTGTGGTTTAAAACAATTCTTAAAATATTGATGTGATCGTAAATTTATGTTAAAGGAAATGAAAATTTTAAAGTTAAATTGTTTCTAAGTCTATGCAAAAGGGTGAGTAAGTTGTGATGTCTTAGGAGACTATTTCTCCTCAATCTGTGTTGCCTAGTTCTTATAGGACTCTGTGTTTAGTCTACCTATATATTCATATTGCTGTACATATTTTATGAATTAATCTCTTACATGGTATTAGAGCCTTTTGTAGTTTAACGACATTCTTTCTTTCGTTCCAAAAATAAAAATTCTTTGAATATCAGAAACGACTATTCGAATGGGAGATAATATTGAGAACTCTTCTACCCTGGCAGCTTCAGTTGTTAACGAATGCCACGGGAAACTACTATCCTACACTAATCTCGCTCACCAGTTGCCAGTAAAGCTTACGTCAACAAATTTTTTGCTTTGGAAGACACATTCTTCCAATGATTTGCAGTTGTGGTCTTACCATTATATTGATGGTAGCGAACCAGCACCACCACGTGTTTGGATGGTGATAAACCAAATCCTGCATATAAGGTTTGGGTACGTCAAATCAACTCGTCTTGAGTTGGATAGTCGCTTCAGTTTCAGAAAGTATTCTCCCTCAATTGGTCGGAGCAGAAACAGCTCGTGCAGCTTGGGCAAACTTGTTGCAGCCTATGCTGGTGGATCTAAACCATTGATTCGTGAACTTAAGGCACATTGCACACTTGCGCCGTGATAATGCAACTATTGAAAGTTACGTGCAAGGGGCAAAAGTTATTGCTGATAAGTTTGGCTGCCTTGCAGCAACCCAGTCACTAATGATGATTTAGTCGAGTTTGTTCTTGCCGGATTAGGTTCTGCTTATCGCCCCTCACAAGGTCGCTTGAATCACGTCACGAAGACTCACCTTTGATGCCTTTATGGTTTATTGTTGAATGACGAAAAACAATTAAAAACGTGAAGATGCAGTACTGTTATTGCCCCAACAGCACAGTACACCACAGTTCATTCTCTACACAATCGTGACGCGGCAGGGGGGTACTAATAGGGGTCGTGGTCGCTCTAAACTAGCCATGGAAGTTTACAACAATCTCAATCAGCATTATGCCACTATGAACTCATTCGAAAATTTTCAGGAATCCACTTTCCACATGTTATTCTGGAATTGTCTACCATAATTGCGAAGGAAAGGGTCATATTGCACGGTTTGTCGTACCTAGGACTATGATGGAATCGGGTTTGGTCGTCCTTCTTCAAATCTAGCGTATCTTCAAACAACCAAAATTGGTTGATGGAAGTGGCACACACAATCATCTGACAGATCTTAACAACCTGCTATTCACTCAGATAATCATGGTCCTGAAGAAGTTACTCTAGGTAATGGTTAAATTGCTCTCGCATATTGGTAAAGGATCTTATATATTTCTCGTACGTATTTGATAGCCTTCTTATGTTTCCCACTGCTACCCAAATTTATTGTCTATTAGTTTTTACTAATTCTAACCAAGTTTAATTGAATTTTTTCCTCACTATTTTTTATTAAGGATTTGGCAACGAAGGCAGCTCTTCACAAAGGGGAGGGAGAGGAGGTCTATACTCCCTTCCGATATGGACATCATTTCTTCACCATCTTCATATGCTGCTTCACTTGGTGTTTGCATGCGCGCTTGGCTCATGCGTCTTATCCTATAGTTCGTCGGGCTTTGCCTTCTAGTAAAATTATTTCGTCTAGTTGTGGGTCTTCTAGTTTTTGTGTCCAATTTGTGCTGTTAGCAAGAGTCATAAAATTCCTTTTGTTGATTCTAGTTTTCAGGCCACAGGCCCTTAGATTTGATTTGTTCGGATGTTTGGGTCCAGCACCTGTTTATTTCGAATGATGGATACAAATATTATGTTTTTCTTTGATCATTATAGCAAATACACATGGATCTATTTTCTTAAGTTCAAGTCTGAAGTTCTTTCCGTTTTTATTCAATTTCGAAAAATTGTGGAAAAATACTTTGGTCGTCCGATTAAGAGCTTTCAAGCAGATTAGGGAGGTGAGTTTCAAGCATTAACTTCTTATTTAAGAGACAATTTCAAGCATATTTGAAGTTTATTATATGCACATTTTTAGTGAATTTCTTAACAAATATAACAGAGTTCAGACCAAACTTACTAGGTTTTGCCGAACTCATACCTTCCATGTTATCTCGCCCTGCGGCAAGAACATGGGGGAAAAGTTGGTAAAATTCAATATTGACTCTTCAGTCTCTTGTAGCACAAATCAAACTGAAATTAAGAAACTGCAGTCTAAATATATAGTATGATATATTTTGAATTGTGAACACACAACACCTTTTTTTTCTACATAAATCCATAGCACAGAGAATTAAGAATATAACTTTTTGTAACCACTTGTCAGTGTGTAACAACGACGACAACAACAACAGCACGTACCAAGTGTATTAAGAAAAAAACAAAGAAAACGACTGCATACAGGCTACAGCTCTACATGTTTTCCATACATTTATTAAATTTTTTAGCAGCCACAAGCAAGTATGAGTTTTCATTGGATTCATGCATTATAGAGCATCTATGTTTTCATTGGAAGCTGCAGATACTCATAAAACTGCAAAAAAATTCTAAACATTTTCCCAATGGCTGAGAACAACACAACAAAAAGGAATGGCCAAATAAGTGTTCAAGATGCACAAGTGTACTATGTTGGAGCACCTCTCGAGACTAATCACCTCATATAATATCCCAGTGTACTATGTTGGAGCAACCACTCATATTCGCCAGGTCAAGTTATGTGTCCATGGTTTCGACCCTGTTACTACTAAAAACCTACATTTTCATGAATTTCCTACACCACCTTTTGAAACCCCCCTCCAAATCCAAATGCTTCTCATAAATTTCCTAACCATATGATCCCTTTACTTTATGCAACAATCCATTTCCGTGAGCCAGTGTGTCTCTTGTAAACCAACTCTTAGGCGCCAATCATCGGAGAGTGATTGTTATTTATGATTCTCTGATGATTGGGTGTTGGAGGATATACCAGCAATTCCAAATGCCGAGTGCTACCGTTTTAATGGTTTCTCAGCTTTCTATATGTTTTCATCCTATTGGGAAACCAAAGGAAAACCTTTCCAACCCGAAACTGAGATATTTGAGGACATTATATCAAGCGAAAACTGTGCTACCCCAGAGTTATGGAATTGTGGAATAAACAAGGAGCCCTTGAAGGGAAAATTTGCCTGGAGAACTTTACAATACATCCAGAGTAATAGAAGGTTCATACCTTGATTTAGTAGCCAAAGAAACTAATGGCTTAAACCTATGGGCTGTTGGTCCATTCAATCCGTTGTTGTCTGAGCAGAACAAAGACTCAAACAAAACAACATCAAACCTTGTATTGGCTTGATAAACAGGAAACAAATTCGGTAATCTATGTGTCTTTTGGATCAACTACTACCTTGTCTAATAAAGAAATCGAAGAGCTCGCCATCGGGTTAGAGAAAAGCATGCAAAAGTTCATTTGGGTTCTCAGAGATGCTGACAAAGGAGATGTTTTTACAGGTGAAGAAAGGAGAGCTCAGCTGCCAGAAGGATATGAAGAAAGAATAAAAGGAAGAGTATTTATTGAAAGAGATTGGGCACCTCAGTTGGAAATTTTGGCACATCCTTCCACAGGTGGTTTTATGAGTCATTGCGGATGGAATTCGTGCATGGAAAGCATTTCCATGGGAGTTCCTATAGCAGCCTGGCCAATGCATTCAGATCAACCAAGGAATTCGCAGCTGGTAACAAAGGTCCTGAAAACTGGCCTAACTGTGAGGCATTGGGAACATTGGGATGAATTGGTTGCATCAGAAATAGTTGAAAATGCTGTGAGAACTTTGATGGCTTCACCTGAGGGAGATGAGATGAGGAAGAGAGCATCAGAATTAAGCATTGCTGTCAAACAATCAGTCATGGATGGGGAAGGTTACGGTGCAGAGATGAATTCTTTTATCGCACACATTACTCGAGAACTTTCTCATCTGAATTGACCAATTGATAGCTTAAGTGGTTCAACCTATGAGACTTTATCAATGTTCTATCACCATCTGAGTGGGTTCAGTGTCCACCCTACTGGCCCCCTTTTATGCACATCACTGGCATGTATGTTTAAGTATAAAAAGCTTTTCTTTATGAGTTCCTTATATTTTCTAGTATAACTGTAAAGGTCCTCCTTTACTAGCAACTAGTTCTTTTGGCCAGTGATATAAAATATTAGAAGCTGTTTGTGTAATCTTTCAAGAACATTTTGCTTGTGACTACTGAGTGATATACTATGTCTTTAATTTTGTGACCTTGTATTTTCCATTCTGCCAGACTTCTCATGTTGGTAGGAGTATCAAATCTTGTTAAGTGTACTTTACATTATTTTCTCAACATTAATACTACTCATATTTTGCATCTAGACAAATAAGGAAGAGCTACGGTAAGCTTTCTTGAGAGATTAGATTCGAAATTGCAATTTGCTCTGTTGCAAAAGGAGTTGTAAAAGAGGGAAAATCAGAAGAGTATGATATAAGGTAGCACTGCTGGTATCTACTTTGATTCGAAGATGTTTATTTCAGATTTAGTGGTAACTGTGGAACATCTTTAATTCCTTAACCAAGTAAGATAGCTAACTATTTTTGAATCTTTTGGTTTCTTAGATGCTAAAATACATGAAATGTAAAACCATAGAGGTGAAACATATGGAATGGTAAATAAGTAACAATGATCGTGTTAGTTTTTTGGTATAAAAAGAAAATATAACTATATAGCAGAATCATGACACATTGCAGCAGCAATGAAGGTGTATGAATTTTGTTTGACATGGTAGTGTTACTTGAAATTATACGTATTTGCTTTTTACAATGATGATGATGAGGATGTAAATTCGACTGAGATCACAATGACAACCGTCTCTTATACTTTTCGTTTCTTCAAATAATATTTTTATGGAGGGTTTGCTTAGCAGCCTTTGCTGATGTTTTTTTCCTCCATCATTTTATATAAAACTCAACTGGTTGCTGTTGGTTTTATTGAGAGAAAACAAAGGAACTGATTGTGACTACTTCAAGAAATATATTATGCAGCAATATGTCAAATAAGAGAAGTTAAACTTTTTCGATATCTTTTTAGCTACAGTACATGTTGTGCATGAGACATAAACAACAAAGCTTTTTAACAGCCGGCCTGGCCTGCTAATACTAGTTGTTGGATTCATGCATTAATCATAATCCTTATAAGATCATCCATGTTTTTCACCTACATATAACTCAAGGCACTCCAGAAACTGCAGATACTCGTCAAATAGCAAAATTTCTAAAACATTTCTCAATGGCTGAGAACTACCCCATGAAAAGCGATGGCAAAAAGGGTGTTCAAGATTCACAAGTGGCTGTGGTTATGGTGCCACTTCCAGCACAAGGCCATCTCAACCAGCTACTCCATCTCTCTAGACTTATCTCCTTGTATAATATCCCAGTACACTATGTTGGAGCAACCACTCATATTCGCCAGGCTAAGTTTCCTGTCCATGGTTTCGACCCTCTCGCAGATAAAAAACTACATTTTCATGAATTCCCTACACTGCTTTTTGAAAATCCTCCTCCAAATCCAAATGCTTCCCATAAATTTCCTAACCAATTAATCCCTTCATTTTATGCAACTACCAATACTCTTAGACGCGAATCATCGGAGAGTGATTGTTATTTTTGATTCTAGGATGACTTGGGTAGTAGAGGATGTGCCAGCAATCCCAAATGCTGAGTGCTACTGTTTTAATAGTATCTCAGCTTTCATGTGTATTCATTGTTCTGGGAAATGAAAGGAAAGCCTTTCCAAGCTGGAACTCAACTATACGAGGACATCCCCTCACTTGAAAGCTGCTGTACTAAAGAGATATGGGAATTGTGGAGGAAACAAGAATCCCTCATGGGGAAAGTTAGCTCCGGAGAACTTTATTACTCATCTTGAACCAATTGAAGATTCGGGAATTTTATTTATCTTCATAAAATAAAAGTACATCATAAGAAATATGAAAAATCGACAACTTTGCAAGAAAATAAAAGTACTTTTTTTTTTTCTGAATATAAAAACAACATAAGGAAAAACATAACAATAAAAAAACACAAATAAAATAACATAATTATTTTCCCCAATCAAATGATCAAACATTAATTTTGATCTCCAAAGAAGTCTTCAACTTCCAAATGAATAATATCATCAAGGTCACCAAAATTATCATCTTTTAAAGCCAAATTTGCTTCAATATTGTCATCATATTTTTGTGAAGGCCCTGCCTCGGCATCATTTTTATAAGTCAAGTGTGACTCCACCCGAGCATTAGAAGAAGATGCACCATTTTTATTTCCTTTTATTTTCAAGGAATCTTGATAAAGCCTAACAAAATGCTCAGCTGCTCGGCATTCATTCTTCCAATGCCCTTTCATGCCACAACGATGACAATTGCCTCTTGAAGGATTGCTTTGAGAACCCATATTGTTCTCCCTTTTGTGGCGACCACCACCACGACGATTATTATATCGTCCTCTGTCATTGCCACGTCCACACACATTATTTTGGCCTTGATTTTTATTTTGTCTTCTTTCAGACTGGCCATGTGCTTCAACCTCATTTGCTTCCGGTAACGGAGCAGTTCCCGTGGGACAGGCCTCATGATTTTTCAATAAAAGAGTATTATGTTGCTCAGCCACAAGAAGGCATGAGATCAACTCAAAATACTTTTTGAATCCCCTTTCACGGTATTGCTGCTGTAATACCAAATTTGAGGCATGAAAAGTTGTGAGTCTTTTCCAACATGTCCTCATCTTTTATATCTTCCCCACATAATTTTAATTGGGAAGTAATTTTATATACAGTAGAATTATATTCACATATAGTTTTAAAATCTTGTAACCGCAAGTGAATCCATTCATAACGACCCATTGGCAATACCGTTGTCTTAAGGTGGTCATACCTTTCCTTCAAACCAGTCCACAATTCAAGTGGATCTTTCACCATAAGGTATTCAACCTTCAATCCTTCATTCAGATGATGACGAAGGAAAATCATTGCCTTTGCTTTGTCCTGACTCGACGTTGTATTACCGTTGGTAATAGTGGCACCAAGACCTTTAGCGTCAAGGTGAATTTCAACGTTGAGTACCCATGACAAGTAATTATTTCCAGAAATGTCAAGTGCCACGAACTCAAGCTTTGATAAGTTCGACATGATAAAACTATCATAGAAAATAATTAAATTAGACTAAAATAAATAGTGAGTACACAAGTAATTAACAAAACTTTTTTTTTTTCAATGATAATAACATGACACATGTTATTGTATAAAGTAACATCAATTAGTAACTTAATGTGTTAGTATCAAACTTCCGAGCAATTTAAATGAAAATTCTGCCTAACATATAACTTAAATAATTTCTAGAAAAATTGCTAGACAAAATTAAAATTTAACTAATTTAAAATAGCATAATTCACTTGATGATTAGGCGAGAACATAAACTTTTTGGACTTATATATTTCCATTGTTTAACTACCAAAAATATACACACACTGTTTAACACCTAATCATTTCATAATATGTAGTATATTATATTAGAGTGATTAATAATGAGAATTAAGTATATGAATACATACCAGAAGCTTAACTTGGAAAAATCGAAATGATATTAGAGTTTCGTGCTGATAACGTTTTGTAAAACTTAAGGACAAAAGAACAATATAAAGAGGAAGAGAAGAAGACTATAAGACAAGAGGAACAATATAAACTAACATTCTTTCTTTCAAGTCTATCCAACATTATTCTCAACACCACTATTTATAGGATTACATTGAGGAATACCAAAAGGTGTCATAAACATTACATTAAACCTTGAGAATTACTACCCATTAAGGAGGAAATAAATCTAGGAGTTATGGTCATCCAATTAACCATATTATCAACAACATTACTACCAATAAAGGATGAAATTAACCTAGGAGTTATGATCATCCATTTGACCACATTATCAACAACATTACTACTCATAAAGGAGGGAAATTAACCAAGGAGTTATGGTCATCCATTTAACCACCAAAATGATTTACAACAATAACTTTCTTTTTTGAAGATACAAACGTTATCTTCAGTTGAAATGTAGTTGAAAATATATTATATAATTTAATGTTTATTTATAGGTGCATTAGAGCATTAAGATGAGGTAATTATGTATGACTATAGCCGGTTTGGTCGATCTTTTAAAATCAGCTTATTTAAAAAAAATAAAAATTATTCGGTGTATTTTTAAAAAATACTTTTTGGAAGTATCAGTCTATTTGAATAATCAATTTGAAAAATATTTTTACTAAAATTAGAACAATTAGTATTTGACCAAAATTCTAAAAGTGTTTCGAAGGTTAAAACTACTTCGCTTCACGGAAAAACAACTTCTACTTTAGATGAAAACACATATATTTTTCCTAGAAGCTTTGATCAAACACTTCAATTCTCTAAAATATGCAGCATTAGCAACAACTACATATCAAATTTTATCTCATAAGTGGACTCTAAAGAAGGTGGTCTGTTTGCAGTTTTATACCTACGAGGTGAAGAAAGAGATATTGTTATCGATATACCTCGACTCAAGTAAAGTATATAAAAATCAAGTATCCTGAGAACTTCTTATTTCTAATAAACCCTCGGCTCAACTCTTTAAAATAATCACATCTTTTATTTTAAGAAAATTCCCGACTTAACTTTCTAAAATAATCATTTTTTTTTAAAAAAAAAAACTTCTTATTTCATTGAAACATGACCAGACAGACTATAAATTAGTATTACCTGATTGGTGAGGATATCTAGAATTTTCTTTTGTGATAACATCAAATAATGGAGAAACTATAGCAACTGCTTAATATTTTAAAAAACTGAAAAGAAAGTCTATAATGTCTGCTCCCATAACAAACATATATTAGTATTTTGTCCTATGATAGAAGATTCTAATAATAAAATAATGGTATTA